GTGGGTGTGTGGGTGTGTGTGAGTGTGTGTGTGTGAGTGCGTGCTTCATAATATTAATATGTGTGTGTGTGTTACATGCTGCACCTGCACACGAGGGCCATTTTCCAGGCCCTGCGTCCCTCAGGCTGCAAGTCTGAAATTCAGGCTTAAAGCCTGAAAACCAGGGCCTACAGGCCCCGTGACTGTTCAGCCCGAAAGCCTGAAAACAGGGGCCTACAGTCCCTGTGTCGTTTCAAACTAAAAATGGCAATAGCCTTTTTAGCCTGAAACGAAGGGCCATTTTCAGTCGTTCATCAGAACGACCGGCCCTGAAACTCAGGCACCGAACCAGGGTTTCGGGAACAGGCTATTCTTAGCTTGTTCCCACGCCAGCCTCAGCAGATGCTGCAGTGCCAGCCCTTGGCACACTTCGGCATTGGCAAGAGCAGCCTCCTCGGCCTGGCTCCCCCTTCAGGCAGTTGGGAGGCAGGCCGAGGTAGTACATAGGGACTTCCCATGCACTTCACGGGTAGGCAGGAGGCAGTGGTCTTCAGGATTCGGCGGCAGCACTCTGGAGGGAGTGCTGCAGTAGTAGTAGTAGCGTTAGCCTTTAGTCTTCAGCGCTGGGCGCAGTAGGTAGCTGTAGTCTCCACCGCTGGGCGCCATAGCTAGGATAGCACTAGAGAGAGAGAGAGAGATTGGGCGGAGGCCAGAGGTACTTACCTGCAGCGCCGTTGCTCCAGCTTCGTCTTCGAGGTACCTGCAGCACAACGCCAACATCACAGGTTAGTTCCTGGCTCGTAACAGAGAGAGAGAGTTCTTCTTCTTCCTCTTCTCAGTCCACCATCTCCCTCTCACCCTCTCATCATCTGACTTCACTGCATCTGCAGACTACGAGAGAGGAGAGAAAGAACTTCGTGACACCGGATCCAGTCTAATCCAGACTCGACTTTTGGCTTTAGACATTACGACGAGGGATTATTTGGGACTCGTGACAAAGACTTGGTGTTGACAACATTCCCATCTCTCCCCCTCCTTTCGTCTGATCCCCTCCTCTTCGTCTGTGTATGTCTGGACCTGGCGCTTTCTTCCTGTGTACAGCGCCAGGCTCCTTCACACCTGGTGATGGATACGGTGTATGTTTGGTCTGCTTTCAAACATTGATTGGGCTAGTCATTAGCATTCTAGCATTCTGCTTCACTATTTGATGCCATGTGAATCAGGTCAGTCCCCGCCAGGTCAGGATTTGTATCTAAGTCTTCCCTGTGCTACTCAGCACCATTTTGTATGTATTGGAATGCACATTGCTTGTTGAGATCTACTTGCACTGCATTATCCATTCAATCCTTTTTATCACATTGCGGATCCTCAGTTTTCTATGTACATCGCCCAGTTTTGGCATGTAACACTTGGTATCGGAACGCCGCACGTGAATCTGGACAACCTGATCTGACACGTGTGCGGGGACTAAATAGCTGATTAGTCTTTATTGATTGATTATAGCACATTAGTTAGACCCCAAAATCACGATTTTGACCTTACTGCCTAAAATCGAATTTTTTTTCTTTTCTTGGATTTTGTTTTCTTGCTATTCTGTTGTGGAAAATAGCAATAGCGCAACATCTGAAACTTCCATTTTCGCTTTTCTTCTGAAAATTTGAAATTTTGTTGTTGAAAATCCGGAATATCCTTCTTTTCGAAAATTTAGATTTCCTGTTGTATTTCTCGTTATGTAACAATTCGGAATACCTTCTTTTTCGAAATTCGTTTTTCTGAAAACGGTACGGGAAATCCCTCCTGCAGGTATTATTTTCCAAACTATGAATATTCTCATCGGAGAAAATCCGAATATTTGTCATTTCTTTTCAGAATTTTTTTTTCGCAGTTCTAGGATTTTGTTAGTCAGTTCTATAAATCATTTGCAGTCTGAAGTCGAAATTTTTCTCTCTCATTGATCATTTCGAACTTCAAGGGAGGCCGGGAGACCTAATGAACTTGCAAAAGTCGGGATTTTTATTTTTCGATATTTTTTTGCAAAGTTCAAACTTTTCCTTTTTGATTAGTGGCTCCTTATCTGGGCGATTCTTCCCACCCACCCTCCCCATCTATGTTGTTGCCCCTCTGGCCTTACCTTCTCTACCTATCTCCGGGTACCCCCTGCGACGGCATTGGTGAGTTGCCACGTCAGCAGGCCACGTCAGCAGACTACGTCAGCAGGACACGCCAGCAGACCACGTCAGCAGGCCACATCAGCAGGACACGTCAGCAGGACACGTCAGCAGGACACGTCAGCTGGACACGTCAGCAGGACACGTCAGCCGACAGAGCAGGAAATACCACATCAGCAGGCCCCTGGCCTGGTCTATGCTGTTGCAGTCACATACAGCCTTTATGGACCAAAGGTCTGGAGAAGCAGACGAGGCCTATCAGGCCCGGATGCTGGCTTGGAGTACCGAAACAAAGAAATGGGCAGATGACGCAGCAGCAGCAGCGAAGAAGAAGGCAGAGGATGCCGAGCAGGCACATCTACTAGCACTTGAACAACAGCGCCAGCATGACGAGGCAGCAGCAAGGGCTGCCGATGAAGAAAGAAACCAACGTCGTGAGAAGATATTTAGCGGAGAGCAGACCTTGCTCACAATGGCAGCGGAATGGCGGACCGAGGCCGAGAATGGCAAGTTGGAGGATTGCGAAAACAAGATCACGCTCCTCCTCTCGCATCTCACAGACCTCCTGGCAACCTGCATTACACAGCAGGAGGATATCCACAGCCTATACGACTCGCTAGCTCAAGTATAAGGCCGCCTCCAGCAGCTGGAGCAGCGACCTGTTGCCGCCCCCAATGCAAGCTCTTCCAATACCTCCGATCGCCCCGAAGCGTTGGAGATGGACGTCGGCTCCCTCAAGGACGGTGTGCAGTTACAGCAGACCGCAACGCAACAGCTGCAACGGCAGATCTGTACTACCGCCAATACCTCAAGTTCGGAACCGCGCGAGACAGCTCCAAAGTTTGACGGGCAGGAGATTGTGAGGATTGAGCCCTCAAATAGGGGCCTTGCCGTGTTGTACATGTTCTGGGCCAAGGCCCCCAGCAAGCATCTTGCCCGCCCTAAGTGAAGGCGGGCCAGCAAATCACCGAGAGCCCTCTGTTCAAACGTTTCACGAAGTGGGGTCCATACAGTTGCCGCACGCCAGTTGGTTGGGGTGCACCGAGTTCTGGATCTCTGCAAATGCAGAAAGACCAGGGCCCTTCAGAGTTGGTTAGGCCCTGGGCACATAAACGTGAGGCCGACATTGCATACTGGAAATAGAGGCCGAAAATGTCAATGGGAAACCGGTCCACTATCTGAATCTGGACGCAGGCCTGGATGAAAGAGGCACAACTGTACTGCATGGGCCCCAACCGCATTGGGTCTGGGTACAGGTACTGGGGCCCAAGCGCAGGCTCAAGGGAGGCCGCCCACACGCAACACAGGCATATAGGCAGAGAGGGCGAGGGGGCAGGGATCTTGGCCATTGCGAGCAAGGCCAGCACGCTGCTGCATTGCGAGTGTACCTGCGCTGCGCTAGGCTGGGTGAGGGCAGGCTGGCGCTAAGCGGTAGAGCGCACCCTGGGCACAAGGCTCTGGCGGCCATAGCCAAACTGCCTGTGGGCGCAGAGAAGGTGAAGGGCGTTGTGTGGGATAACAAGGGAGAGTGAGGGTGAAGAGAGAGACGTACCTGGTGGAGAGGAGGTCAACATTGGTGTTTACGTCATCACTCGCTGGTCGTCAAGTTGTCTGGTTGCTTCCATGCTGTAGTTGTAGTGATAGGCTGTAGAGTAGGTAGGGCGCCTGGCGCCATTCAAGAGAGAGAGCTACATTGGGTTATGCTGTTGGTGTTGCCGGATTGGGCTTGGACATTGACTAACGATTCTTCTGTATCATTCTCAAATGAATGGTTACTCGGTTCCATTGTGCTATCTGCTCTTGCTTTATACTTGGACTTCAGTGTGATTTTGCAATCTGGATTTCTGTGCTTCGTCCACATCCACGTTCCTTGCATTTTGGTATCGGAGCTGGTTCGACTCCCCACTTACCTTGCTGCGCTGGCGTTATACAGACTCGGTGCGTTGACGATGCTTCTTCGCAGTTGGTTCTTCTGACGTCAGACCATATTAGGCGCACGACCTGGGTAGGGGGGTGTGCGCCGGAAGGCTATACGGCATGGGTTGTCGTGGTTACTGCGGAATGTATGATTGGTGATGAGAGCATGCTGATGTGGCATTAAGCTGAGGTGGCACTGCATTGCGTTGTGGGTGGTACCGAGGGTACGACCGGTCATCAAATGGACACTCAGCTCAATTGGTGAGAAATCTGTGGTTGGGGGCAGCTATCTCCAGGTAYGTTGTTCCCTTACCTTATCTACTCTCTCAATCTCTTCTTACCGCGAGGAAGTGAGTCCAACTTGAGAGTCCTCTCTTTTGGTGAGGTGTCGTGTGCGCGCTACCTTGAGAGACGACAATCTTCCCGGAAGCATCTGGAAGGAGAAAGGGCGGTTGCTCTGAAGGGCCCTAGTCGAAGCACTTGGGTCACGGTCACCATGCCAACCCAATGGGAGTAGGTCACGCATGCGATGGCTGCTTGTCCATTTTGGCACTTTGCTGCGCTATAGAAGCCGTGTCGGGGGTGCCAGCCCATAAGAGACGCTTACCAGACCGTCTATAAATAGTTCTGGCTGGGGACTCGGTGTCGATACTCGCTGTGATCGTCGTCCTGTCTGCGACGTTAAATAATTCCTGAGGAGATGGGGGATCTCCTTAAATCCCTCCTGATCAGCCAGATCAAACCGAGTAGTAAGCCTCGTTCCGTACGAGGGTAAATAAGAGTGGATGGGCTGGCTTGTTCGGCAATGACTTGGGGCACAGGGGTGGGCCGACATTACACACGAAGACACTGCTGCTCAAAGATGCTCTTCGGTATGTTGGATTGAGGGGAGGGTAGGTTCTAATTGGTGCTCAACTGTAAACACAACCATACCCACTGTTCATACATCTGCAACATTTTTAGCTTTATTATTGATTAGTTGGTTGACAGACTGCTAACACCTCACATACAGTTTAGTTTAGGACTGTTGTATACTACCATAGCCAGTTCTATGCAAACTTCTGTAAGTGAACTAATCATGATAATATTAAATTATGTTGACAGTCTTTGTGAATGTTGTAGGCTGCCACTTGATCGGTCAAGTAGGGGACCTGCTGGACACGTTTATTTTTAGAAAATTAGGTGTCGGTCAGACACATGCTGTGGTTGGACTCCAGCAGGGGGTTGTAGTGCAGAAAGTGTTTGCCTCACTAATGAGCGGGTCAGACACCGATGAGGGTGGAATTGATGATGCGAGACTGACACGTTCGAGATCACTTAGGGTCCCGCATGTGTTTCAGACCCTACAACCGGGAGACGAAGGACTTCTTCGTGCCGAACGCAGAGCCCGTGCTCTCGCAGCAGCCAGGGAGGCAGCAAACGCAGCAGCTAGAGAACAGGCAGCAGCAGCCAGAGCAGCAGCAATGGCTAATGGCGCAGCCTCTGCTGCGTCCTCGTCTGGGACCCAGTTGGGAATGCCATTTGGGCCCACGGGTACTTCTGGGTCAGTAGGTTCTAGTCAGTCCACAAGTCAAATGGCGGGCTCGCAGTTAAGCCCGTTGACCCCACGCGGTAGGGAGCTCTTAGAACTCCAGCAAGTCGAAAGGATCCGCGCTCGGTTAGAGAGGGAACTGAAGCAAGCTACCTACAGAGAAAAAGAGATCAAAAATAGAACAGCCAAGCTTGATACGTTAGACGCAGACAAAGCTGCATTAGAGGGTTTGGATGTGTCAGCCATGTCTGACCAAATGAAAATATTGAAGAACAGTGTACTGTCGCTGCATGCGCATGTGGACAGCAGACTGGACATCATGCAGAACTCTTTGGACCAGATCTTGGACCTTTTGCAAAAATCAGGATTCCGGCCAGCAGCACAGTCGCCGTTGCCGTTAACAGCGATGCCAGGCCCCTTTCCGGTACAAGCTGGCACACAACCAAGTGGTACGTCTGCAGCAGCCGCACAGACTGTTGCTTCTTCTTCTTTTGGGTCAGTGGTGGTAGCTACACCATCACCGCAACAACCTGTTCCTCAACAGGGACAACAGCAAGGTCAATGGTACCCAAAGACCCCTATGAAACCGCCCCTTGCCTTCCTCGGAGAGAAGAAGGACGAGGAACTCAACACATGGTTGAGAACGGTTCCAGTGTGGGTAAGGGCAAAAAGGACTATGCAGGAGGAGGAGGTGATTACTGCTGCATCTTACCTTGAGGGTAAGGCAGCCAAATGGCTGGATGGATTAGCAGCAACGGCCGGGTATGGACGACGCATGGCGGACTGGGCTAAGACCCTAACGTTAGAAGAGTTCTTAGACATGGTAGAAGCTCGCTGGCATAATCCACAACAGACACAAATTGCCACCGATGCGATGCTCAGACTAGACCAATGAAAGTTCAAGTCAGTCAGAGAGCTAACGTCTACCGTAGAGAGCCTCATCGTCGTTCCCGACATACGCTACGATGACCAGGTCTTATTGACCATGTTCGTGAGATGTCTGCCCGAGAATCTCAGGAATTTGCTGACCAGCGAGGCTCGCCTCGAGTATCATTCGTTTGAGACCCTCTCTAGAAAGGCCTTAGATTTAGAGGTTACTTTAGGGAGTGCTCAACCTACTCCAGTAGACGTGAGGAAGAAGAAGAGTCCACAGGAATGGAAGAAGAAGGGGAGTAAATTGATGATGGCTGAGTCCGATGGGACTCAAACTGAGATCGAAGAGCTCACAGACCTGCTGGACAGTTCAGAGTACGACGGCGAGGAGATCGCTTAGGGTAGCACCCTCGCCGCAGTTGTAAAGACTAAGGCAGGTGGCCGAGGGAAGGGCCATCAAAAGAGTCAAGGGCAGGCCGCCTCCAACCAGACCAAAGTTGCTGATTGGGTCAAGGCAGGTCTTGATCAAGAAGTGTGGCGGGACCGTAGAGTGCGTGGTGCTTGCATCAACTGTGGTGAGTACGGACACACGCAGTACAAATGCAAGAACGCAAAGGTCACGCAGAAGATACCTCCTAAGGTAGGGGTACCTTCTTCCCAGGCGTCTAGCGCGGGAAACATGTGAGGTCGGTGGAAGTTTTAGCTGCTTTTACTCATGGTGAAGTGGGCTAGATACCCTCCCCACTTCATGAGCATGCCATAGCTAATGACTCTTTAGTCACCCTGCAGACTTATCCAGACCAAACTATGCTCTGTACGTTGGATGTGTCTGATGCCTTAGAAGATTTAGAAAGTGAGTGGTCAAGCAAGGACCCTCGCGAATCTTGGTTGGCACTAAGAAAAGGTCCTAGAGGGGAACATTTCGTTGTGGAAGTTGTTGTAGGAGAGCACAAATGTGGTGCCTTCATAGACATCGGCTCCACACGGAATTACATAAGTCGCGACTGTTTGGAAAGGCTGCACCTAAAGGACCGGGTACAGCACCTTAGTAGACCAGTAGCATCTACTTTGGCCAATAAGGAGCGCATGATTGTCACACACTATATCAAGGATGTAGTCTGTACCTTTTCCTATGGAGGAGGGGAACTTAATCACAAGATTTCGTTCCTAGTTAGCGACGACTTACCGTTTGATATGTTGTTAGGAATGTACTACCTTGAGGTTGCCAAGCCCCAGTTTGACTGGGATAAGAAGGTGCTAAAGCATAAGTTTCCTAATGGAAGAATAATGAGACTAACTAAGTTCAAAGCCAGCAGTATATAATTGGTACCTATGGCTGCTTGTGTGCATCAGCATTCTATAACTACTATAAACAGAACCAAGAGGAGGGTATGTACCTAGTGTATGTCTCTGAGAAAGGGGAGGTCGTTAAAACACCCCCAGAGATAGAACATGTCGTCGCTAAGTTCCCTGATCTGTTCACAGAGCCAACAGGAGTCGTAGAAAGGGAGGTTGTCCATGCCATAGAAATTATTCCATGGAGTAAAACCCCAAAGGGAAGGATCTATAGGATGGTTCCAGCCGAGTTGGACGAACTTCGGCGGCAATTAAAAGAGCTGACAGAAAAGGGATGGATTCGGCCGAGTACTTCCCCCTTCGGATCTCCAGTGCTATTTGTACCAAAGAAGGGGGGTACATTGAGGATGTGCATTGACTATAGAGGCCTCAATGCCATCACAGTGAAGAATGCAGAGCCTCTGCCTCGCATAGACGACCTATTGGATAGGGTGCAGGGATGTAAGTACTTTACCAAGATAGACTTAAAGTCCGACTATCATCAAATTGCAATAAGAACCGAGGATCAACACAAGACTGCTTTTCATACCCAATATGGTCTGTATGAGTTTGTAGTGATGCCCTTTGGCCTTTGCAATGCGCCGGGTACATTTCAACACGCCATGAATAGGATCTTCCATGACCACTTAGATAAGTTTGTCGTTGTGTACCTTGACAACATTCTGATCTTTAGTAGGTCTGTCGAGGAGCATGCAGAGCACGTTGAGACTGTACTTTCACTCCTGCGACAACACAAGTATAAGGTCAACCTAGAGAAATGTGAGTTTGGACGCACTAAGATCTTATACTTGGGTCATGAAATATCCGCAGAAGGTATTAGGCCGAAAGATGCGAAAGTGGCTTGTATCAGGGACTGGCCACGACCTCAGACTAAAACTGAGGTCAGATATTTCTTAGGAATGTGCGGCTACTATAGAAATTTTGTAAAGAACTATTCCACAGTCGCCTCTCCTTTGACTGATCTAACTCGACTCGACACACCGTGGGACTGGAGTGATGAGTACGAGGCTTCTTTCAAACGATTGAAGCATGCACTCATGAATCATGAGGTTCTCATGGTGCCCGATCCTCATAAGCCTTTCATTGTAACCGCTGACGCAAGCCAATACGGCATTGGCGCAGTGCTGGCTCGGCAGGATGGGAAAACGTTGAGACCGATTGAGTATATGAGCAAGAATATGCCATCAAAGAAACTGGCAAAGTCCACCTATGAAAGGGAACTCTATGCTCTCTACAAAGCACTTGTCCATTGGAGACATTTTCTGTTGGGACGGTTCTACTATCTGAGAACTGACCATCAGACCCTTAAATGGATCAAGACTCAACCGGCTCTTTCTGATGCACTCAAGCGATGGATTGAGGTCATAGATCAGTATGGCTTCAAGCTAGAGTATCTGAAGGGAGAGTACGACAAGGTTGCAGATGCGCTATCACGTAGGGCAGATTACCTAGGGGCGCTAGTTTCTGAGTTTGGTGTATCTGAGGAAGTAACTCAATCGCTGGTGGGAGCCTATTAGGAAGACCCTGTCACGATGGACATCATACACAAACTTCAGGCAAAAGACAAGGCCACAGAAAATGAGTTTGTGATGGTGGATGGGTTTCTCTTTCTTGATAAGGCCGGATTTAAAAGGTTAGTTGTTCCATCTAGTGAACGTTTGTGTAGTTTGTTCCTAGGAGAATGTCATGACGCAACCGGGCACTTTTATTACAAAAAGACGAGTGCTAATCTAGTACAACGATTTTGGTGGCCTGGAATGCTAGAAGATGCAAAGAAGTATGTGGAGACCTGTCAGGTCTGTCAACGGGACAAACTGCGAACTCAAGCACCGCTTGGGTTGCTAAAGCCCTTACCTATCCCCGCTGGTCCAGGACAGAGTGTTTCCATGGACTTCATGGACACCCTGGTGACCAGTAAGAGTGGCAAGAGGCACATCTTTGTCATCATTGATCGATTCACCAAATACGCTAGACTAATTGYCATGCCAGAGACCGCAAGGACTGACCACRTCATCAAGTTGTTCATGGACAACTGGGTGCGTGATTTTGGTTTACCAAAGTCAATCGTTAGTGACAGAGATGTCCGCTTCACAAGTGAGTTGTGGAAGAAGACTGCTGAGCAGATGGGCAGTCAACTTCAGATGACTTCAGGGAATCATCCAGAGGCCAACGGACAGGCCGAGCAGATGAACAGAGTTGTACAACATCTGCTGAGGCATTACATCAAGCCCTGCCAGGATGACTGGGATGAAAGTTGCCTCTCATCGCCAGCCTGTACAACAACGTTGTACACAGCAGTACCGGCGTTAGTCCAATCAGCTGCACTTGGGATGGAAGCCTAGATCAGTTGTGGACTTCCTCCTACCTGAAAACTGACCCTCTGCAACTCCAGGCACACTTGAGTATGGTGTGCAATATGAGAAGTTGCTACATCAAGTTGTCCAACACATCAAGAAAGCTCAGCAAGCAATTATTGCTTCTGAGAACAGACATCGTCGACAATCCTCATTTCAGGTAGGGGAACATGTCAGGGTCAAGGCTAGTGAGCTAGGACAGGAATTCGGTTTCTCTCGAAAACTAATGCCTCAATATTTTGGTCCCTCGGAAGTCCTGGATATAGTAGGGGATGAGATGGATGGTCCTACCTATGTTATCCGTATCCCTGGTGACCTACGCACTCACCCTGTCTTTCATGCCTCAAAGCTTGCACCTTTCGCTGAGACAGATCAATTCCCTTCAAGGAGATCGATGCTGCCCCCAACCATGGATGGCCAAGTGGACATCGACGATATTGTGGATCACAGGGACTTGCCTATTCCAAAGTCGTTGGGTCGAGGAAGACCTCCTAAACCCAAGAGAGAATATCGTGTCAGATTCAGGCATCATACGGATCCCAAAGAATATTGGTGGTTCACCAGAGAGGAACTGATTGACACAGCTCCTCAGGTGGTGGCAGAATATGAGAGAATGATAAAAGGTAAGGCACCTGCGAAGTAAGCATCTCAGCGGACTTTCGACGCTACGGGGGATGGAATGTGAGGATTGAGCCCTCAAATAGGGGCCTTGCCGTGTTGTACATGTTCTGGGCCAAGGCCCCCGACAAGCATCTTGCCCGCCCTAAGTGAAGGCGGGCCAGCAAATCATCGAGAGCCCTCTGCTCAAACATTTCACGAAGTGGGGTCCATACAGTTGCCGCACGCCAATTGGTTGGGGTGCACCGAGTTCCGGATCCTTACAAATGCAGAATGACCAGGGCCCTTCAGAATTGGTTAGGCCCTGGGCACATAAACGTGAGGCCGACATTGCATACTGGAAATAGAGGCCGAAAATGCCAATGGGAAACCGGTCCACTATCTGAATCTGGACGCAGGCCTGGATGAAAGAGGCACAACTGTACTGCGTGGGCCCCAACCACATTGGGTCTGGGTACAGGTACTGGAGCCCAGGCGCAGGCTCAAGGGAGGCCGCCCACACGCAACACTGGCATATGGGCAGAGAGGGCGAGGGGGCAGGGATCTTGGCCATTGCGAGCAAGGCCGGCATGCTGCTGCATTGCGAGTGTGCCTGCGCTGCGCCAGGCTGAGTGAGGGCAGGCTGGCACTAAGCAGTAGAGCGCAGCCTGGGCGCAGGGCGCTGGCGGCCATAGCCGGGCTTGTTGTGGGCGCAGAGAAGGTGAAGGGCGAAGGTGGTTCTTCGGAGGTGAAGGGTGCTGTGTGGGATAACAAGGGAGGGTGAGGGTGAAGAGAGAGACGTACCTGGTGGAGAGGAGGTGAGCATTGGTGTTGACGTCATCACTCGCTGGTCGTCAAGTTGTCTGGTTGCTTCCATGTTGTAGTTGTAGTGATAGGCTGTAGAGTAGGTAGGGCGCCTGGCGCCATTCAAGAGAGGGAGCTACATTGGGTTATGCTCTTGGTGTTGCCCGATTGGGCTTGGACATTGACTTACGATTCTTCTGTATCGTTCTCAAATGGATGGTTACTCGGTTCCATTGTGCTATCTGCTCTTGCTTTGACTACTTGGACTTCAGTGTGATTTTGCAATCTGGATTTCTGTGCTTCGTCCACATTCATGTTCCTTGCAACATCTTCTGCGACTCGACGAAGACAGATCCGATTTCATGGTTCCGCAAGTTCGAGCTCACGCTGCAGCTACACAACGTCAAAGAACACAAGCACCACGCATACTTGTACTCTCGCTTAGGGGGCGCGTGCCAGGCTTGGTTGGACAACCTCTTATCCAAGTACGGAGTGGTAGCTAACGACTTGCACACCAAGATCAGTTGGGATGATCTGAAGGCAGCGTGGCACTAGCGGTTCCAAGTCGAGCCGCCCGAGATCAAGGCTATGGACAAGCTCATGGTCTTCGAGCAAGGCATGCTGCCCAGTACCGACTGGATCGCCGAGTACCAACGCTTGACGTCAGTCCCAGACATCCACATGGGCTTCAAAGTCATCCGCCACTATTTCATCTCAAGGTCATGTCCGACATTAAGCAATGCCCTGACTCACGTCGAGGACACCTTGACGACGACAGCGGAACTTTTTGACAAGGCCGCGCAGATTATCATTACGAGCAAGGAGGCGAAGAAACTGCGTTCGTTTGTGGCAGGCCCGAGCAGGGACCAGCATCGGCCAAAAGTGGTCGTGGTCGCAGCGGCAACGCCGTTGGACCAAACCAGCGAGGCCGTGTCTGCCCATGAAGGAGACAGGCTTGCAGCCGCCCGGGAAGGTGGCCGCCTTGGCAGAGGCCGAGGACGAGGCAAGACGAAGATACACACCGCATCTAGCCCCGGGCCCGGCGCAGCAGCCCCAGCCCCTTTGTCCCAATACGGCATCTCCGAGCAAGCCTTCAAGGCGCGCACGAGATTCCACTATTGCCTATGGTGCAACAGTGATCTTCATCAGACACTGGTCTGCCCATTGAAAGGCAAGGGCAAACAGGGAAACTGAGCACCGCCAATAGTGACTCAACAACACTCTCGACGCCTCCGGAACCGGTTTCTTTGCGAGTAACCGACCTTCATTCCGAGGCGCATGCGGAAGTCGATAGTCCTCCTCTTCTACTTTCTTTTGAGGACTATGCTGCCCGGCTCGTTCCTACGCTGGGTACTCGAGCTCAAGGACAAGACATGTGTGCGGCATCTTCTCCGTCCGGTAGCGGCGACTTATCGTCTTCAAGTGGTTCTTCACGGGATTCGGCGTGCGAGTTCAACATAGAGGTATTGGACCCGCTCACATCCGAGGACTTTGCATGGCTTCCTCTCCCGACCACAGGCCGCTTGCCGGGACCGCAATGCGCAACACTATGCGCTTATCTCCACACTTACTTATCCTTCTATGCACCACCAACTTCGCCGATGGATGACGAAGTCGCGGTGGGGGACATCCTTGCGTATACTACCAAGGTGTCCCCCGAGTTTCGCACGCAGTGGTACGATGACAACAACGCACCGCTCATGTATGTTCGCATTCAAGTTCGGCAAGCATCCTACAGTGCTTTGCTAGATAGCGGCGCGTCTCGCAATTTCATGAGCCAGACCTTTATGCAAAGGCCTGGCCTTGGGCACAAGTTCGGAGGAAGGCAAACCCGACGGCGATCAAGTTGGCGGATGGAAAGACACAACAACTTCTCGACCGTTATATCGAGGCCGTACCGGTTTATTTCGCACCTCATGCATGCGAACCGGTGACATTCGATATTCTCGACACGGACTTCAACATCATTCTGGGAATGCCTTGGCTTGCAAGTGCGGATCACACAGTCAACTTCCACCGGCGTACTCTTAGCGTTCGCGACCCCTTCAGCGTGGAAGTGGCGTGTACTATTCCTCTACCGCACCCTTCGATTCAGTGCCAAGTGGTGACGACCAAATCATTCCGGGCGACTTCCGCTCACGAGCAGCCGGAGGAAATCGGCCTATGTTTCCTACGGACAGCCGCGGTAGCCGACGCTTCACCCACGGACTTCTCTTCGGACCCCCGGGTGGTGCGGTCGCTGGATGAGTTCGCCGACATCATCGAGTCACCTACTGGTGTGGTGACAGATCGGTCGATCTCTCACGAGATCATTGTTGAGGCCGGTGTCGTGCCGCCGAAAGGTTGCATCTATCGGATGAGTGAGGAGGAGCTTGAGGTCCTCCGCGCACAACTCGACGACTTGTTGGCCAAGGCCTGGATCCGCCCGAGTAGCTCCCCATATGGAGCACCAGCTCTCTTCATCCGGAAGAAGAACAAGGATCTACGATTGTGTATCGACTACCGCAAGCTCAACGCGCAAAACGTCAAGAATGCGGGGCCTCTTCCTCGCATCGACGATCTTCTTGAGCGATTGGGCGGCGCAAAGTATTTTTCTAAGTTGGATTTGAAATCGGGATATCATCAAATCTCGGTCCTGGCGAACGATCGCTACAAATCCGCGTTCAAGACATGGTACGGGCATTTTGAGTGGGTGGTCATGCCTTTTGGCCTCACCAACGCCCCGACGACCTTTCAAGCGGGAACGACCAATGAGTTTCGTGCAATGTTGGACTGTTTCGTGCTGGTCTACTTAGACGATATTCTCGTCTATAGCCGGTCATTGGAGGATCATCTCGATGAGTGTTGGAGACGCTACGCCGCACCAAGTACAAGGCCAGCCGCGACAAGAGCAAATTTGTCCGGCAAGAGTTGGAATACTTGGGCCATTTTGCCACACTGGAGGGCATTAGTCCGCTATCGGACAAGATTCAAGCCATCCAAGAGTGGCCGGAGCCTCGGAACATCACGGATGTCCATTCATTCCTTGGCCTCGCCGGCTACTACTAGCGTTTTATCAAAGGCTACTCGAAGATCGCGGCCCACTTGACCAAGCTTCAATGCGAGGATCGACCGTTTGACTTCGGAGAGGAGGAGCGGGAATCATTCTTTGCTCTCAAAGCCACGCTATTATCTGCGGAGGTCTTGCGGATATACGACCCGCTTTTGCCTACGCGCGTCACTACAGATGCGTCAAGCTATGGCATTGGTGCAGTCCTCGAGCAACATGATGGTGTGGACTGACACCCAGTCGAGTATTTCAGCAAGAAAGTGCCCGTCCTGCATTCCATTGACGATGCACGCAAGAAGGAGCTCCTCGCCTTCGTCCACTCGCTCAAGCGGTGGCGGCACTTCCTCCTTGGTCAAAGCCAGTTTCGATGGGTAACGGACAACAATCCGTTGGTCTTTTACAAGACCCAAGACACCGTCAACAGCACCATCGCTCTCGATGGATGACTTTCATCGACCAGTTTGACTTCTTTCCCGATCACATTCCCGGGAAGTCGAACCGTTTTGCGGATGCTCTTTCATGGCGTCCGGATCATTGTACCGCGGTTTACTCAACCTTCGAGATCGACGATGACCTGCGGAAGAGCTTCATCCGCGTCTATCAAGCCAACCCCGAGTTTCGCGACAAGTACGCGAATTGCTCCTCTCCTAATCCGGCGCCTTCTCACTACCGGATCCAAGAGGGGTACTTGCTTGTCCACACGCAGGGGAAGGACCTTCTTTGTGTACCAAGTGATCCTCACTTGCGTACACGACTTCTTGGCGAGTTCTACGATGCTCCCGCCATCGGACACTTTGGAGTCAATCGCACGATTGGCCGACTTCGCGAGCGATTTTGGTGGCCCGGCCTTCTCGGCGACGTCACGCGCTATTGCGAGTCATGCGAGGTTTACTGGCGCTGCAAATCCTGCAACCATCGTCTATACGGCGAGTTACGACCATTACCGGTCTCGTTGAGGCGAAGGGAAGCGATTGCCATGGACATTACCGGCCCGTTCCCTAAGCACAAGACCGGAGTGGATGAAATTCTCACAGTGGTCGACCGACTCACCAAGTTCGCCATGTTTTTGCCTTGTCGCTATCATGCCAAGGCACCGGAGTTGGCCGAGGTTCTCTCTGCCGGTTGGATTCGAACCAAGGGTTACCCCAAGGAGATCATCTGTGACCGCGACATCCGGTTCATGTCCGAATTTTGGTTGGCGCTCATCAAGCGATGGGGCTCATCTTTCAAGCCCAGTTCAGCTCGCCACCCTCAAACCGATGGCCAAACGGAGAGGGCGCACCAGACTGCACAGGTTCTCCTTTGCACTCTCATTCGTCCTGACCAGAAGGACTGGGTTGAGCGACTACCGGATGTCGAGTTGGCCTACAACTGTTCCATCCACCCGGCTATCGGGATATCGCCTTTCGAATTCGAGCACGGCTCGCCGGTCACTTCACCGTTGGACACTATTACTCCACGAACGGTCGAAAGCGACGACCATCTTATTTTCTTGCGTTGGATGCAAGAGCTTCTTGTCAAGGCACGCGACCAGATGGCTAAGACGCAGCAGCGCATGAGCCGACAGGCCAATCGCCAGCGTCTTCCTTGCCTGTTCCACGCCGGCGACCTCGTGTGGGTTTCCGCAGCGGAATTCAGCCTCGAACAAGACAACTCTCGCAAGCTCCTCCCGAAATGGATGGGGCCTTGGCAGATCGTGGCACCCGCTGGGGACGCACCTGAGGGGCCTTCCTTCACGATTCAGGTGCCCGCCCACTTGCCCGTCTACCCAGTCTTTCATTGCTCCAAGTTGGCTCTTTACACGCCAGCGGAACATGACGATTTTCCCGGAAGACGTTCGCAAGACCCACCCTCCATGGATGGTTTTTTGGAGGTCGGCGACATCATCTTCCAGCGACGCTACGGCAACATGCCAACCGAGTATTTAGTGCATTTTGCATACTGCACACACCGAGCTGACCGTTGGTTGACCCGTGCGGAACTTCAAGCAACAGCTCCAGACGTTCTCGCACGCTACGAACGCAAGATGCAAGGCAAGCCGGTTTCTTCGGCTCCATGCCGCGCCCGCGTCCAGGTTCCACCTTCAGATCGTCGGCTTCGCCCTCGCCCCGGCTTGACTTCATAAGGAGGGGGGGGTGTTACATGCTGCGCCTGCACACGAGGGCCATTTTCCAGGCCCTGCGTCCCTCAGGCTGAAAGTCTTAAATTCAGGCTTAAAGCCTGAAAACCAGGGCCTACAAGCCCCGTGACTGTTCAACCCGAAAGCCTGAAAACAGGGGCCTACAGTCCCTGTGTCGTTTCAGACTAAAAATGGCAATAGCCTTTTTAGCCTGAAACGAAGGGCCATTTTATGATGAACGACCGGCCCTGCAACTCAGGCACCGAACCAGGGTTTCGGGAACAGGCTATTCTTAGCCTGTTCCCACGCCAGCCTCAGCAGCTGCTGCAGCGCCAGCCCCTTGCACACTTCGGCATTGGCAAGAGCAACCTCCTCGGCCAGGGTCGCCCTCCAGGCAGTCGGGAGGCAGGCCGAGGTAGTACATAGAGACTTCCCATGCACTTCACGGGTAGGCAGGAGGCAGTAGTCTTCAGGATTCGGTCGCAGCACTCTGGAGAGAGCGCTGCAGGAGTAGTAGTAGCGTTAGCCTTTAGTCTCCAGCGTTGGGCGCCATAGCTAGGATAGCACTAGAGAGAGAGAGAGATTGGGCGGAGGCCAGAGGTACTTACCTGCAGCGCCGTTGCTCCAGCTTCGTCTTCGAGGTACCTGCAGCACAGCGCCAACATCACAGGTTAGCTCCTGGCTCGTAGCAGAGAGAGAGAGTTCTTCTTCTTCCTCTTCTCAGTCCACCATCTCCCTCTCACCCTCTCATCATCTGACTTCACTGCATCTGCAGGCTACGAGAGAGGAGAGAAAGAGCTTGGTGACATTAGATCCAGACTCGACTTTTGGCTTCAGACATTACGATGAGGGATTATTTGGGACTTGTGACAAAGACTTGGTGTTGACGACATCCCCATCTCTCTCCCTCCTTTCGTCTGATCCCCTCCTCTTCGTCTGTCTATGTCTGGACCTGGTGCTTTCTTCCTGTGTACAGCGCCAGGCTCCTTCACACTTGGTGATGGATACGATGTATGTTTGGTCTGCATTCAAACATTGATTGGGCTAGTCATTAGCATTCTAGCATTCTGCTTCGCTATCTGATACCATGTGAATGAGGTCAGCCCCCGCGAGGTCATGATTTGTATCTAAGTCTTCCCTGCGCTATTCAGCACCATTTTGAATGTACTGGGATGCACATTGCTTGCCGAGATCTACTTGCACTGCATTGTCCATTCAGTCCTTTTTATCACGTTTCGGATCCTCGGTTTTCTATGTACATCACCCAACTGGGCATGTAACAGTGTGGCTGGGTGGGTGTGGGTGGGTGTGTGTGTGTGGG